TACCTTTTGGGCAAATTGAAGACAGTAAGTATATCCCTCCAAACTACAGCAGAAAATCGTGCATTTTGCTATTTTCCTAATGTCAGAAATAAGATGAGTCTAGAATCAAGAATATCCTTATGTTGTGTTCTCTAGTCCTGGAAATTCAGTGTCTGATAGTCACTATGAAATAAAGCAAGAAATGTAACCTACGTAGTCACAGTTCTAATGAGCTACTGTCTCCTGTCACTGAAACAGCCCTTGCCAGCTACAAATATTGTCTCCATTAATTAAATATTACAGAATATACAGCTACAGCTGTGTTAATTCAAAGCCAATTTATGCTCCTGGGTATACAGATTTCCAAAGATTGCATTTTTCCTTAGTATTTTCCTATTGGTAGATGCACTGTGGCTTTAAATGCAGTGATTTTTAATCTTTACTGCATTATCTAGTTTTAATTAACTAGATATAAAATATTATATGTCAGATAATTTTCAACTAAGTTATAAATGTTATAGACTTCTGTTAAGGTGTAATGCTGTTTGAAATTTGGAAGAGCAAAAGACAGTAAAAAACATTTTAACTTTTAAACAAACAGCTACTTAAATATTAAAAGCATGAAAAAAGAGTAAGTGTCCACAATTAAGTCCATTGAAAATTGAAAAAGTTGAGCCAGGGAGAGTGCTTGATAGGTAAGTGCTTGCTCTGTAAGCATGAGGATCTGAGTTTGGATCCTCGGCACCCACATGAAAAGCTGGGCATATCAGCACACCTGCAATCCCAGCACTGGGAAGACAGAGACAGGATGGTCCTTGGAGCTGCTAGCCAGCTGGTCTAGAGAACTGGTGAGCTCCAGGTTCAGTGAGAGACCCTGCCTCAAAGAACAAGGTGAAGAGAGACTGAGGGAGACACCTGATGTCAACCCCTGGCCTCCATATGCACATGCGTGCGCGCGCGCGCATGCGCGCACACACACACACTGCCTCAAAGAACAAGGTGAAGAGAGACTGAGGGAGACACCTGATGTCAACGCCTGGCCTCCATATGCACATGCGTGCGCGCGTGAGCACACACACACACACACACACGACGGGAGAGGGGAGAGAAAGGGGGGGGGAGAGAGAGAGAGAGAGAGAGAGAGAGAGAGAGAGAGAGAGAATTGAAAAAGTTAACCTGTTAACTATTCTAGTACCTGTACTAGACTGATTCTTCTCTTCCAAACCCTCTGAGTCTGACACTGAGAGGAAACAGTTAAACTGTCAGTTACTGTGTTGCCAAGATTTCGTCCTTCCAAGTTTCAAGTCTGTGTCTTAGTTTAGTCTTTATGACTTTAAAGGCACATGGATTTCTCTCTCCATATAATAAGGATGGAAGTAATTTCAATTAGAAAATTAGCAGTGTAATATAAAGAAAACTAAGAATCATAAGTTCTGATTTCAGAAAAGAAGATACACTTTGTGATAGATCAAATAATAGCCAGTTGTGTCTGAATTATGTTTAAGATGAGTTTTTATGTCTTACTCTGATTGTTTTTAACCAGAAGGTTTCAAGTTGTTCTGTCAGTGTGTTTTAATCCTGAGAGGTGGATTCTTTGGAGTCTGTTAAGAACCAGTATGTAGATAATGAAAATGCTTGCACTTAGTAATAGAGAAAATAAAAATATGTTTTTAATAAAGAACATATAAGTCAGCAATTTTACAGTGGGTCAAAATAAGATTAAATAGTACCATAAATATCCAGTCACAGTTAGCATGATTACAATGGGGTTAGAAAGATGGCTCAGTGGTTAAGAGTATTTACTGTTCTTCAAGAGGGCAGCTCACAACCACCTGTGGCTCCAGGTCCAGGGTATCTGACACCCTTTTCTGGCCTCTGTGGGTACCCACATACATGTGGCAGACATTCACACAGACACAGACACACACACACACACACACACATAAAGGAAAATAAAAATAAATCTTTAACAATATAACTGATATGCTGATAAATTTGTGTCAGTAATTATGTAATACACACAATAGCCATGGGCACAGCTCCCCAATTCTTCTCCACTAGGTAACTGTGTGGACAAGTGGGGATCAGATGGCTGGGGTGTGGCACAATGATAGAGCCCTTGCCCAGCATGCACAAAGCCCTGGGTTCCATCTCTACTCAGCACAGTATAAACAAACCAGCAGAACAGCACTGCAAGACTGAACTGCTGTGTCCCCAGGACATCTCTCTGAGATTACCTTTATAGCTTTATAATCCTAGCAAAAGTAAGGATATATTGGGCATTTGATAAGTACTTATCAAATTTAATTGGATTAAATCCGGGTAAAATTAGTTACTTCCACAGTGACCATTCCACTCCAAGTTTTTAAAATTCTGTCTCCCACCAGTGAAACAGCCATGCCTGCAGAAGCCAGACTTTCCATTAATTAAATAATATTAAGGATAGGCAACTGGAGTTTGTTCACTCCAAGCAAATAGCATAACTTTGTTGTGTCGTGCTCCTTTGAGTCCTATGATTACAAGCAATGGTACAGAGATAACAGTTTGCATTGACTGACCTGTTTTATTTGTGTATTTTCAGGCAAATGGACACAGTTTTGTACATATGGAACACGAAAAGGCTGTTTTACTACTGAAGAGTTTCCAGAACACAGTAGATCTAGTTATTCAACGTGAGCTTACTGTCTAAATATTTTTTATAAATAGTGAAGATACGTCTAGCCAGAGCTAATGTTCAAAAATAAATTTATACATAGAAACAAATTTTGCCAATTGCTGGACCAATGGCAAACATTAGTGCCAAATGTATAATACTGTATGTTAGCCTTGACCACCCTTAAACATGTTAACTATCAACATGGCGTTCGTGTGGTTCTGCATCAGTTCCCGCGTCAGCCTCCGGCTGTGCATTGATTGGTGCGGTTTTGGTTTTGGTTTTGGTTTTGGTTTTTAATCAGATAAGTTTTCTTCTCAAAGTGGATTTCCTATGATTTCGGAGCACGGAAGCACACACAGCTCTTTATGAATTCTGCTATCCATCAGAAACACTGCCTCAAAAGTTGTACATAAAGAACTGGGATTCCCATAAAGTATTTCTAGAACAAGGTATATGTTGGCATATATACAAAAAGAATATAGAAAAATGATATTTTCATAAACATCTTGGATTGAGAAAGAAAATATATCTTAAAATAAGACTTTACTATATTGAATCTTTTTCAATAAAATTACATGATAACGCCTTATGGAAGTAACTGTACATATAGTATAAAGTCTTTATATTCGGTTCTGCAGCCATTTGCTAAATTCTCATAACAGAGTGAAATATTTCATAATTACCCATTTATCTCTGGGACCTGAATAAAAGTAGGACAAATCAGATCTGCTCGATGCCTTCAGAAAATTATGACAACACATGCAGATAAACAGACCAAGGTGTCTGCAGTTAAGTCTCTTCCACCGCAGATTTGCGCAGTGAGTGATGGGCTGCAGCAGGCACTACTGCTTTGCTTCCTTCCGGGTTCTGTGATCACCAGCTGTGGTCTGTTGCTTCTTCACTTGTAACTGTGGAACTTACGTGTGTGATGCTTTATTTCATTTGCCACTTTTAAATCATTTTAAATGAACTTGGGGAACTGGTATTTACTTACTGAGAAAGACTTGTTAGAGAGTTATGGTGGGCAATTTCAAAATTTTGGCATTGAAATATGAAACTTCAGATATAATTTCTCAGAGCTGCGGTCTTCCAGTGCCATTAATCTCCATGCCTATCTTGTGGACAGAAATGCACATTTTTTTTTCTCCAAAAGCGTTTCAAAGTATAAAAACTTCTGAATGTAATCTTACATACTTAATGTGGAATTATTCACTTTTACATTAGAACAGTTTCCCTCTTTGAAAGTTCAAAATTCATTTAAAAATCTTTTAAAATATTTCTTCTCATATCAGTCATTAATTTGATTAAAATATTAATTTGAAATTTCAGATTAACTTTCTAGAATTGGTTGTTTGCATTCCCTCCTATTTCTGCATAGCTTTTTTATATAATAACTTTATCTCACACGCTAGTGCTTGACATAGTCTATCGAAAAATATAATCACATGTGGCTTTCACCAGAGCTCTGAGAATGGTATTTGTAAGTTAATGTTTTATGGGAACAATGAAAATACTGTATTTTTGTAGGATCTATTAAAACGAGTGTCACTTATTAGAAGTACAGTGGTATTTTTTGGCTTAGAATTTGTCACTTGAAGGTACATGATGCTTCATTTTATAGATGATGCACTAAATTTGATGTCGCTTTGTGTCAGGGTGACATGATACCGTATACCCAGTTTTACAGGCTTTGAAAATTAGCTAATGATTCATAGATTGGCTTGTTCAGTATATTACCCAGAAGTAGCTTGTACATGCATTTTAATATACTGAGAGCAGCTACTGTGAGGAGTCTTTCAAAGCCTAATTTTCTGTGTCAAAAACTCATGGTACACCACTGCATCATATGTTTCAGGGTCCTCCATAGTCAAGAGAGGCCCAACAAACTCAGCGTGTAAATGTGGCAGCTTGAAACACACAGAAGCCCCCATCCGGGCTGTGTGACCTTGTGTGGGAGAGGCGGAGACAGCCAGGGCGTTTCCTCCTGTCAGGGGTCTTGCATCAGTCTCAGGTACCCAGAGGTGCTTCTAGGGCCATCAGCTAAGAGGATGGTGACCCCTTCTTGACCAACAGCACTGCCCAGGCTGTGCCTTGATCCCTCCTGCTCTGACATTCAGAAAGGAGGAAAGGAGAAAGGGCCTCCCCCCCGACCTGGGAGAAGCTGAATTCACTCCAGGCTGCAGACGGACAGGCAGGTGGTCACACAGAGAAGTGCTCATTTTTTTAGATTAACTCAATGAGATCATTAATTACTTGGGAAAAGGGGGTTCTGATTTTTGAGTGTTGACTTTTTTGTTTTTGAGTAACTGCTTTGAAACTAGAATCTGGTTCATGTTAACATCAACAAAAGAAACAAGAGTGTGCCTTAAAAAGGGAAAGAAAGAAAAATCTCCAAGGTCAGAAAGGAGCGAATTCCTGATGGCGCCAAGGACTCTACCTCTCAGCCATTACAGACCTTCCTGCTGAAGAAGTCACTTACAGTCCAGGCTGGTTAGGGTGTGGAGGGGTATGCTCTCAATTAGCAGAGATCTGCAGTTTACAAGATACAGGAGTGAAGAGATCATTTAAAAACCACGTACGAGGCATGTAATACTTTATCATAAACACTTCATCATGGTGATCCGCGCCCTTCAGGCAACACGAGGCACAGTAACGTCAAAACGTGTGTGTTTGACAAGAAACACTCAGAGTCAGCACCACACAAGTACATAGGTCATGCTATTTCAAAGCCTGGGAAAGCGTGCCGGCCAGTTAGGATTGTGGTGTGATAGCTGTCAATATGGTTCTGTCCAGGCTTAACCTTGGATCCCGCCCATAGAAAACACCTACGATGCAGGGGTACAGATCAGCACTGACTTGTTTCAGCCTTAGAGACGAGCACATACTTCTTACTTAGAGGTGAGGCTGAGATCATTTTTAACCATATGTGCGAGGTAAAGAGAGAAGATGCAAGAAAATGTTGAAGGACTTCCATTTACATCTTCAAATATTAAGAAAAACATCTGAGTTTGCCAGACTATCATATGAAGAAATCCAGAAACAAGTAGTTTTTAGTCGTAAACCTACCCAGCACACACAGCACCATGGAAAGTTGGAACGCAGTGCCCTCACCAGCTCTTCTGTCCATCGGCCCTGAACGCTGTCCCTCGTCATTCTCTACCTCTTGGCACGAAGATCAAGGATGTCTGTTCCAATGAATGCGTTCTTGTCAAGAGCGAGAATCTAATCAGATCAGAATTCAAACAAGATGCACTGAGGGAATTGGGTGTCCTGTGGAACACTCATGGGCAATGTTACAGGGGACTCAGGTGTCACTTTCCTGTGCTTCTGTTTAGCCATTTTTACCCACAGTATACAGAGAGAGTTTTCTGAGATACCCACTGTGTGAGACTCAGGCAGATCTGATCCTGTTTCCAGTTGTGCCCCGACACATCTGAGGACAGCTCTGGTTTCCTCTTAGGGCTGTTATTTTATGGAGCATTTCCCATCCACCCATGCTGTTTCAAAGGAGGTGGGTGAGTTTCCATCATGTGGAAACCAGCACCTTTAGCCCCCAGAGCTCCAGCTGCCAGAGGCCCTTCAACAGCAGCTGATGGCCTCCACCCCAGTTTGGGAGGAATTCTCCTAGGAAGCCAAGGATGAGCAGACTGGCCAGGGTCCAGAGGTGAAGGGCTTACCACATCAGTGACAACAGAGCTCATGTGCAGGGGTGTGTGAGAGTGTCGATGCCTTAGCAAAACGTGTTTGCACTTCATGTTTATTTTTAATTTTTACTTCTTTGAGTGTTGAATTTTGCCATTCTGAGGGGCTTGCTAGGAGCTAGCTGAGGCCTCCAGGGCAGGTATCAGTCTTCCTGACCTTTAACAGTGTGAGAGAGTCACCCAGAAACACTCCTGGGAGGACAGAACCACCACCTTCTACCCTGAAGAATTCAAGAATTCAGTGTGGGAAATGACCACTCTAAGGTTTTATTTTGAAACAGACCGTGAAAACAGAACAGTGAATGCCCTGGTTTCTATGTGACCACCCTAATTTTCCCAAGTGCGGTTTGTATCGGGGAAGAGTAAGAAGAACCTGCTGGTTCCAACTTTAGAGGTACCTAGGGCCTCCCTGGCCTCCATCTGGAGTCTGTTATGCCCTGTACAGAGCAAAGTTAAGAAACAACAGGACCTGGTCACGGAACATACAGGGGGCCAGGGACTTTGGGGCCACCGCCCTTCCCAAATTGCAAGCAGAGTCTTATTTGGGCTGATTTTGTTCATAGTAGCACCTTAAAGAGTGAAAGATTGGGAAATTTGGGGCATCTTTTATGTAGAAAGGTCTAAAATCCTGAGACTCTTATTCTAACACTAACCCTGGTATATATGCCTGACCCGAAGCAACAGCAATGGGTCGATTTTCCACACGAGTTTTCAGCCCTAGCACAGCTTTCCTTCCTTTAAAAAGTGGCTTTTGTTTTCAGTCTTTAAGCAAGTATCATTTGTAGGTAGGGAGTGATGTGAGAAAAAAGTTAAATGGATCACCCAGTGTTTCCTCAATATGAAAGTCCCCCCCAACTTAGGTCAAATACATTGTTGAGGCTCGTTTTTCCTAATTTAAAATAAAACAAGGAGCTTGCAAGCCAGCAGACAGCCAGGCATCTCTACACCCAGAGGCAGTTCTCTTGCACAGAGATTTGTTTTCAGTAGCAAATGCCTACATTTCCTTCCCAGGGAAAGGTGTAACCGAGTCTCAGAAGAATATGGTGCGCTTATAGTTTCAAGGCATTTAGTGATAGTTCTTTGAAGACTATATAACAAGAACATCAACTGCAGTGATTATAAGTTTATGACAAACACCTGTTGAGCCTCACCTACTCATCAGGCCAGCCAAGGACACAGAGTTCTGCTCTGCAGAGCTTCATAACCAGGTGGAAGGAGAAGCATCAGGTGGAACCAGGCAACGTGGTGAGTCCCTCCATCCCTTCCCTCACCCATCCCATGGCCGATGCCATCAAATCTGTTTGAGTTGGAACTCAGCTCAGTTGGAGCTGTCTGTGGGTCTTCCTGCCGGGTCCTGGGGCCTTTGGGAGGCCCTTGTGAGTGTCTGTTGAGACTTAGGGAAACTTCTGACAGACTGACACAGCCAGAGTGATGAGCTTCCTGGACAGGAGTAGAAATCAGAATCCCTTGGATCTCTGGATGAGGAGCCATGCTAGCTCCAGAGAGGACAGGGCTGTCGTGAAAATACTGTCCCTCTGTCTGGCCCAGTGTTCCACTCTGCCCTGACATGAGGGAACAGGAACTGGATGCCAACATCTTCACAGACAGGATTCTGATTTTGAGTTCTATTCTGAGTGCCCCTAAAGGCCTGTGTCCACTGCCTCTAGGACCCTCTCCAGGGTCCAGTGTTAGAATGAGCCACTCAGAAAGGCAGGGAGGAAGGCACTCCAGCCCACAGCCTTGCAGATCTGTGCACCTCCCTCGTGGATTGAGAAAGCTGTCCCTGCCTGTCCTGTGGTCAAGTTGCCACATGCGATTGCACATGTCCACACATCAGGCCCCGTTTGTCCTTCCCAGGGGAACTGAGGCCTTTGATTCCAAGAACTGCTTGCGTTTCTTCTCCCCTCACCCAGACCTGGTGTCTGTGTGCTGCAGTGTGAGGCAACCTCAGAACATGCTGACCTCTGCAGGGAGATTTCCTCCCTCCATCTCCTTTCCCAGTTATCACATCACACTGGGTCTGAAACCTTCTCTATCCCAATGGAAGAACCTTCTTTCAGTAGTGTAGAAATTATATAGTCTTCATACTCTGCCTGAACCCCTGGCTGCTTGGTCTGTGTGCTTCCTCTTATGTCAAATATAAGTTCCTGTGAGAGACGGGACCAGAGACAGGTCCTGGCTTTGCTGTACTGCAAACTCTCCACCCGTCTTTAGTGTCCGAAGCATAGTAGGTGCTTGGTAAATTCCTGTGCCTCGAGTGGATGGATGGGCCCTGCCAAGGAAACAGACTTAGATATTGACTTTGGTGGGAGGCTGATGCTCAACTTACATAAGCTTAAACCATGAACATTTCACATTTACCTCCTCGGTTGATTCACCAATTCCCAGTTCTGTGGAGGGGAAAAGGGGGGGGGGGCTGTAGGCCAAACTGCTCCCTCTCCTTGGTATTTCTTCTAAAAGCCTTCAGACCTTTCAGAAATTGGGGTTAATTTTCTTGTTCTAAATATGTTAACACTGTCCAAAATATTTGAGTGGCTTTTGTTACTTAATTGAAACACGTACACTACACACACACATACAAACACACACACGCACATTTATATTATATATTTTAATTAGTGTGGGTATAGTTTCTTTCCTGGGAAGAAGAAGCCATGCATTTAGTTATTAGAGATACAAAGAATAATGTTGAACTTGCAAGGCCATTGTTTTAGCACCTCAGAGACCATCAGGCCTGGGTCCCCCAATCAGGTAAAGCAACTGTGAAGAAAACTGTGTGGTCAAGTCTGGGTTTAGACCCATTGAATATAAAGATTCTTCTGCCCATGCTCTGTGGTCTGGTGAGTTGTTGTCTTATGCTGTTTTTACAATATGGCAGTGGGGAGAGTAGTAAAGTGTGTGAAGGAAGGGAGGAAGTTCAGAGGAGGGGTCCCATCCTCTGCCTCCTCAGCCCTAACAGGTCTCTGCTGCCTCATGCTGCTTTCTCTAGAGGAGAAACGTCTGTCCGCAGGCCCTCAGCTACAGCTCAGCATGACAGTGTTCATACCTCAACTGGCATCATTTCGTGGGCTGACCCCACCCCCTGTATCTGTAAAATGAAATT